GTCTAGTCTATAGTCTAGTCTATAGTCTAGTCTATAGTCTAGTCTATAGTCTAGTCTATAGTCTATATAGTCTATGTCTATCTATAGTCTAGTCTCTATAGTCTACTCTATAGTCTAGTCTATAGTCTAGTCTATAGTCTAGTCTATAGTCTAGTCTATAGTCTAGTCTATAGTCTAGTCTATAGTCTAGTCTATAGTCTAGTCTATAGTCTAGTCTATAGTCTAGTCTATAGTCTAGTCTATAGTCTAGTCTATAGTCTAGTCTATAGTCTAGTCTATAGTCTAGTCTATAGTCTAGTCTATAGTCTAGTCTATAGTCTAGTATATAGTCTAGTATATAGTCTAGTCTATAGTCTAGTCTATAGTCTAGTCTATAGTCTAGTCTATAGTCTAGTCTATAGTCTAGTCTATAGTATAGTATAGTCTAGTCTATAGTCTAGTCTATAGTCTAGTCTATAGTCTAGTCTATAGTCTAGTCTATAGTCTAGTCTATAGTCTAGTCTATAGTCTAGTCTATAGTCTAGTCTATAGTCTAGTCTATAGTCTAGTCTATAGTCTAGTCTATAGTCTAGTCTATAGTCTAGTCTATAGTCTAGTCTATAGTCTAGTCTATAGTCTAGTCTATAGTCTAGTCTATAGTCTAGTCTATAGTCTAGTCTATAGTCTAGTCTATAGTCTAGTCTATAGTCTAGTCTATAGTCTAGTCTATAGTCTAGTCTATAGTCTAGTCTATAGTCTAGTCTATAGTCTAGTCTATAGTCTAGGCTATAGTCTAGTCTATAGTCTAGTCTATAGTCTAGTCTATAGTCTAGTCTATAGTCTAGTCTATAGTCAGTCTATAGTCTAGTCTATAGTCTAGTCTATATAGTCTAGTCTATAGTCTAGTCTATAGTCTAGTCTATAGTCTAGTCTATAGTCTAGTCTGTAGTCTAGTCTATAGTCTAGTCTATAGTCTAGTCTATAGTCTAGTCTATAGTCTAGTCTATAGTCTAGTCTATAGTCTAGTCTATAGTCTAGTCTATAGTCTAGTCTATAGTCTAGTCTATAGTCTAGTCTATAGTCTAGTCTATAGTCTAGTCTATAGTCTAGTCTATAGTCTAGTCTATAGTCTAGTCTATAGTCTAGTCTATAGTCTAGTCTATAGTCTAGTCTATAGTCTAGTCTATAGTCTAGTCTATAGTCTAGTCTATAGTCTAGTCTATAGTATAGTCTATAGTCTAGTCTATAGTCTAGTCTATAGTCTAGTCCATAGTCTAGTCTATAGTATAGTATATAGTCTAGTCTATAGTCTAGTCTATAGTCTAGTCTATAGTCTAGTCTATAGTCTAGTCTATAGTCTAGGCTATAGTCTAGTCTATAGTCTAGTCTATAGTCTAGTCTATAGTCTAGTATAGTCTAGTCTATAGTCTAGTCTATAGTCTAGTCTATAGTCTAGTCTATAGTCTAGTATAGTCTAGTCTATAGTCTAGTCTATAGTCTAGTCTATAGTCTAGTCTATAGTCTAGTCTATAGTCTAGTCTATAGTCTAGTCTATAGTCTAGTCTATAGTCTAGTCTATAGTCTAGTCTATAGTCTAGTCTATAGTCTAGTCTATAGTCTAGTCTATAGTCTAGTCTATAGTCTAGTCTATAGTCTAGTCTATAGTCTAGTCTATAGTCTAGTCTATAGTCTAGTCTATAGTCTAGTCTATAGTCTAGTCTATAGTCTAGTCTATAGTCTAGTCTATAGTCTAGTCTATAGTCTAGTCTATAGTCTAGTCTATAGTCTAGTCTATAGTCTAGTCTATAGTCTAGTCTATAGTCTAGTCTATAGTCTAGTCTATAGTCTAGTCTATAGTCTAGTCTATAGTCTAGTCTATAGTCTAGTCCATAGTCTAGTCTATAGTCTAGTCTATAGTCTAGTCTATAGTCTAGTCTATAGTCTAGTCTATAGTCTAGTCCATAGTCTAGTCTATAGTCTAGTCTACAGTCTAGTCTATAGTCTAGGAGAAATTCAAGTATAGAAAATATTTCATATACATGCTATCCATTTATTGATAAAGTTTATTTAATCTTACGAAATTATAGTAAAAGTGTTAAAATTGTGAACTAGATTTTACAATAGAAAATTTTCAACAGTAAAACAAAATTTGATCGATATTGACTGTTATAAATTAAATTGCCACACGTATGGATTAGTATGGTACAAAACAAGTTTCAACTGAAATCATAACGCGCTCTCTCTCTCTCTCTCTGTTTTCACGACTGAGAAATTATTAACTAAATATGAGAATTACAAGGATTACAATCCAAGCAGTCATAACAAATTCATCTAACTAATGAATTTAGTAGATTGCAGTCATAACAAACTTCTTTTACAAATGAAATTTAAATGTCAACAAAATGTTACGCCCTAATACTAATTTACACATTCATACTTACAACACTCACATAGACACATTGTTTAACATGAAAATTTTATTTTCACAAATTATTAAAATAAATATCTCACACATGTTATTAAAAATTTAACACATTTTATAGAAATAACAATAATAAAAACAACAAATAAACATAATAAATTTTAATAAATATTGACATAATAATAATTACATTTAATTTTATTTAGTTTTTTATTAAATATTATTTTTTTATTTTGCAATTTTGTTACTGTATTTTTTCAACTTTATTTCATACTCTACTAGACATAAACGACATTTTATTTTATGTACGAGCATGTTTTTATATTTAAAACAATTTTTTTGTTTTTTATGATTTTATAAGATTTTTTTTTGAAATCATATATTATGTGCATACATGAATAACATTTAATAAAATACAACCATGAAATTACACTCGAAAAATTTTTCTATAAAAAAAAAATTATCCGAAAATTTCTCTATCCATTAATTTTTAAAAAATTTTGATGAAGAGGAAATCGTCGTAAACTTCTTATAAAAAGAAAATTTATCAAAAATTTTGTATAAAAAAAAAATCCAAAATGTTGTATAAAAACAAAATTTAACGAAAATATTGTATCAAAAGAAAGTCCATAATGTAAACTGGACTGACTAGCCTATAGACTAGACCATAGACTATACTATTGACTAGACTATAGACTAGCTCATAGACTAGCCTATAGACTAGACTATAGACTACACAATAGACTAGACAATAGACTAGACAATAGACTAGACAATAGACTAGACTATAGACTAAACTATAGACTAGACTATAGACTAGACTATAAACTAGACTATAGACTAGACTATAGACTAGACTTTAAACTAGACTATAGACTAGACTAGAGACTAAACTATAGACTAGACTATAGACTAGACTATAGACTAGACTATAGACTAGACTATAGACTAGACTGTAGACTAGACTATAGACTAGACTATAGACTAGACTATAGACTGGACTATAGACTAGACTATAGACTGGACTATAGATTGGACTATAGACTAGACTATAGACTAGACTATAGACTAGACTATAGACTAGACTATAGACTAGACTATAGACTAGACTATAGACTAGACTATAGACTAGACTATAGACTAGACTATAGACTAGACTATAGACTAGACTATAGACTAGACTATAGACTAGACTATAGACTGACTATAGACTAGACTATAGACTAGACTATAGACTAGACTATAGACTAGACTATAGACTAGACTATAGACTAGACTATAGACTAGACTATAGACTAGACTATAGACTAGACTATAGACTAGACTATAGACTAGACTATAGACTAGACTATAGACTAGACTATAGACTAGACTATAGACTAGACTATAGACTAGACTATAGACTAGACTATAGACTAGACTATAGACTAGACTATAGACTAGACTATAGACTAGACTATAGACTAGACTATAGACTAGACTAACTAGACTATAGACTAACTATAGACTAGACTATAGACTAGACTATGGACTAGACTATAGACTAGACTATAGACTAGACTATAGACTAGACTATAGACTAGACTATAGACTAGACTATAGACTAGACTATAGACTAGACTATAGACTAGACTATAGACTAGACTATAGACTAGACTATAGACTAGACTATAGACTAGACTATAGACTAGACTATAGACTAGACTATAGACTAGACTATAGACTAGACTATAGACTAGACTATAGACTAGACTATAGACTAGACTATAGACTAGACTATAGACTAGACTATAGACTAGACTATAGACTAGACTATAGACTAGACTATAGACTAGACTATAGACTAGACTATAGACTAGACTATAGACTAGACTATAGACTAGACTATAGACTAGACTATAGACTAGACTATAGACTAGACTATAGACTAGACTATAGACTAGACTATAGACTAGACTATAGACTAGACTATAGACTAGACTATAGACTAGACTATAGACTAGACTATAGACTAGACTATAGACTAGACTATAGACTAGACTATAGACTAGACTATAGACTAGACTATAGACTAGACTATAGACTAGACTATAGACTACTATAGACTAGACTATAGACTAGACTATAGACTAGACTATAGACTAGACTATAGACTAGACTATAGACTAGACTATAGACTAGACTAGACTATAGACTAGACTAGACTAGACTATAGACTAGACTAGACTATAGACTAGACTAGACTATAGACTAGACTATAGACTAGACTATAGACTAGACTATAGACTAGACTATAGACTAGACTAGACTATAGACTAGACTATAGACTAGACTATAAATTAGACTATAGACTAGACTGTAGACTAGACTATAGACTAGACTATAGACTAGACTATAGACTATAGACTAGACTATATTTTCTATTCTTTAAAAAGATTTGTTTAAGTGCATCTTTTGCTTTTTCTGTAAAATATAAAATAAATTTCTGTTGCTAATTATATTTAAATATAATAAAATTATTATTTATTTTTTTAATATTATTCATGTTTTTGCGTTTTTTCGTTCTTCTTTTCATTAAATCATCCAAAACACAACTTACCAAACTTGTCAGCACATAAAATATCCAGTATGGAACCACAGCAACGAAAAGTTGAATGAATGGTTCGATAGATAGTTAGTCGTTGGTTGGTATGGAATGGTTTGGAAATGAGTATTAATATTTTAATCCAGTATTTGTCAAATTTGGTGGTATAGCTATCAGCTGCTTTTATTTTTTTAGCTAATTTTTTATGATTTTTTTTTTCGTTTTGACCAAATTGTTCAAAATTATTGTCAATTTGTCAAAATAATAATGATGATGTTGATTTTTGTTATTTTTTATTATTTTTATATTTATTGGC